GGCCTCTCTCTTGAGCTGAGCCTTGATGCCCTTCCCAGAGCGAGCCGCCAACATGCCCTGGAGCAGGTTGTCCTCCATGAAGGCGAAGTCCAGCCCAACTCGATTGCGGAATTGACCAAGTTCCAACAGGTTCTTGGTCGTATACACTGGCACATCTTGAATGCGAGCTCGGCGCCAATGGTGATGCATCAGGGCCTTGGGCCTCTGCAAATACATCGCCTCGGCTTGGTCCTGCCAGTGCTTGGTGTGGCTGATGCTTGGGTACGGAAAAGGAGCGTACCGCAGATGCGGCCGAGGCAACAGCCATAAGAGCAACCCATGTCCGCGCCAAGCGGCCTTTTCGCGGAAGCGAAGAATGAGTCTTCGCCGTCGCAGCACCACCTTCGTGTACTCGAACTTCGTCAGGTCGTGGTGCTCGTGCGCCTGCTGCTCCATGCTGATCCAAAGATCCTGCACGATCAGGGGACGTCGAAGAGGATGTAGTCGGGGGAGATGTCGTAGCTTGAGCATCCCTTGATCCCCGGCAGAAGTAGCAGCTTTCAAACCATGTTCAGTGACAAGGTGCTCATGCGGTGCACGTGAACTAGGAAAAACATCTAAATGACTTATGTTCAGCTGAAGTTGCGTTTCCAATGTTCAAGACTTGTCAACTGAAGCTCAACAATGCCATCGTCCCAAACGACGCCATCGTTGGGATCCCGGACGTGGCCACATCGAAGGCTGGAGCGGCAGTGAGAAGTGGCCTGCAGCCAGTTGGCCGAGGTCCAACATTTCGCCGTTCACGAGGTCGGCTCGAAGTTTCTTCCGGCTGAAAGAAAGAACTGCTCCAATCCCTGAAAGGAAATCACGACCAAGAAGGAGGCCCAACGAAGGAACAGGAACTATCGATACCCAAACCAGGACCAAGGTGGAACCCAAAGCCATTGGCAACCTATACCTCACATTGCTCTTCTGCGCGCCACCATTCCCAAAACGAAAAAGTTCATCTTCTTCAATCGTGGTCACGAGGTCTTGGATGGGTTTGGGAGCTGCTTGAAGGGCTTGAAGGTAAAATACCAACCAAAAAGAACCAGCGCAGGTCCGGTTGCAAGCATTGTCTAAAGCTCCAACAAATCTTTTGTCCTGAGCCAAACGAGGGATGTCCCGCTTTTGCAAATGCTGCTGTGCCAACACTTCGGAGAGCGGAGTGGCAAATGTATCACCAACTGCAACTGTCAACACTTCATGTGCTGCTGCTTCATCTTCAGCGGCCAGGTGCTCTGTATTCAAAGTCTCTGTCGCCCGAACCTGTTTGGTCGTGTCTGACCCTTGGATCGTCCCTTGGGTCGCGCCAGCCCTGCGCCAGGGGACTTGCAGCCGGCCACTGTGGAATCCAAAGCAAACAGGATTCGAACGCGCGTGGTTTTCCTCTAGCGCAGCCAAAACATGGCTTAAGGCCTTCAAGCCGAAATACGTCGGCATACACTCTCAAGCCTGATCGTCCGACCTGGGGCATTTCCATACATATATTACATATTGAATTAATAACCTAAAATATTCGGTTGGGAATTGATCTAAAGAATTGAATATCATTTCTATTTTTGATATAATTTCGTATTTATATTTTCGATCTATTTTAAATTTTTGGAATTTGGATTTGTTTTTTAAAATATTTTAAATAGATATATTTTATAAGAAAATATATATTTTCGAATTATTTTTGGAAGAATTGATTTATTTATTTATGATAAAAATTAGATTTTTTTATTAATGGGGATACGAATTTAATAAATATTTTGTTTTAGGAAATTAATTTATATTTTATTTATAAATTTTGTTTTTTTTTAATTGAATGTAAAAGAATTATAAATGTCGATTAAGGATATATTTACGGATATTTTCGGATTTTTATAAAATTTAAATATAATTATTTGATATTTTAATTATTTTTTTTATAAAATAGGATTATTTAAACTAATGTTTTTGTAATATAATATTTGTTATATTTTTGGATATGAATATTCGATTAGAGTTTTTAAATGGAGATTGTTGAGATAGGGATTGATAGTATTGGGATTGAAATAGATATATGTAAGGTATAAATGAAAATAGGAAATTGGAAATAAATGATGATTATTATTATAAATGATTTAATTTATAAGGTTTAGGTTTATTTTTATTTTTTTTTGCGAATGTAATTTATTTTTATTTTTGGAATTAATATCGAATCGTTTTGGCTCTTTCGAAAAATATTCGATTATATTATTAACGCAATATATGCGTGGGATATATTTTGGAATTTTACGTATTGATTTGTATTCTGCATAGGAGGTTTTTATATGGAAGTAAATATCTATAACGGTTATTGGGAGAGCTCGTTTTGATATTGATTATTAATGATCCTTTATAATCCATTGCTTTCGTCTTATAATTCCTTGTATTTTTGTTTTAACACGTTGAAATGATAAATGTTTTTTTTTGTCGTTAATAATTAATTCTAAATTCTATTGAAATTTTTTATATTTTCGTTGCAATTCTTGGTGTCTGATGTTTATATAGCCTGATGAAGTCGCATTTCTTATTTAATAATATCGAACGTTATATTTATTTTATTATCTATGATATTTATTTTCTTTGTCTGGATTTCCTCATCTGTGACATTGGTATTTATATTTTCCGTAATATTCGTATCGTTTAATTATCTTTTATATTATTATTTGTCGGAAGAACCGTTAGGAAGATCTTTTGCTTCTATAGCTACATAATGAATCCTAGGATAAAGAAAGGCTGAAGAAGATGGATAGTATATAGGTCCATTTATTCATTTCATTGTTATTGTTTGAAATTAAATTGAAATTATTGGTGGTAAGTGTGATTACTATTGATCCTAATAGGAATATAACCTGCATGACCCGGTCTCCATTCTTTATGGAATATCTTAGTATTTTTTTGCGGTCTAGTAATTTTCGTCGCTCTTAATTCGAATAAAATGTATTCGAAGGCGATTTATAAGAAATTAAGATGTATATATTTACCTTAAATATGGAATCGGAATTGCAATTTGCCTAGCATACTAAAGCCTCAATAACAATTCTTTTTTTTTTTTTTTAATTCTACATGCCGCTTACATTTCGCCTTTATTCTAAAATTAAAATATTCATCCTCAAATATAAATCCAATATCGGACCGATTAGAATCCTAATAATTCAAGTGCAAAATTTCTATGCAAATTAATGAAATTAATTTTATAAAATTCGAATCAATGACAATACAAAAATATATAAAAAGAAAATAAAAAACATTAATAAAAAAAAAAATATTCCAATTATAATTTTATAAAAATTATGTATAATATTATAAAAATATACAAAATTCGATTAAAAAAATATATAAATTATCGTAATTTTTTACCTTCAATATAACCACAATCGAATTACCATTAATATTACATTCATTAATTTTTCTTTAATGTTATTTTCAATCCAATTTAAATATAAATTCATTTACCTACAAAAAAATTAAATTAAAAAATAATAACGTATTATTAATTCAATTTAAATCCTATTTCAATATATTAACTTAAGGCCAAAAGGGGGGGCGAAAGCTAGCGCTCCAAAATAAGAAAGTAGAAAGTAACGAAATAAGAAAAAATACGACGTTCTTTTTGGAAGCAGGGATAAAGAGTCCTTTATATGTGGCTCTTTGCCCGGATCCTCCTGCGAGAAAAAAAAAAGAAGAAAAAGATAAGAAAGATAAGAAAGAAATAAAAGAGATAAGAAAAAGATAAGAAAGATAAAAAAGAGATAAGAAAGAAATAAGAAAGAGATAAGAAAAGGATAAGAAAGAGATAAGAAAGAAATAAGAAAAAGATAAGAAAGAGATAAGAAAGAGATGAGAAAGAAATGAAAAATAAAAAAGAGATAAGAAAGAGATAAGAGAGATACAAGCGATAAAAGAAATAAAAAAGACGAAAGCGAAACAATGAAATAATAAGACAATAAAACAGTGCGATCGTAAAATACGCAACGCTAACCGCATGCCAAAGAGCGACGACAAAACGGAATCGAACTTACGAAGAGGGAGGAGGGAAGGAGAGAAAGTGGGAAGAAAACAAGGAGAAGGAGGAGAAAGGGGGGGGGGGAGAATCTTCGACCTGAAAAATCAGAGGTTAAGATTTGCATCCGGTCGAAAAAACACCTTGCGATCGCAAGAATAATTCCAAATAGCTTTCGTAATTAAATCATAAAATTTTTAAATATTTTATCGAAAATAACTAAATATTCCATACAATCTTTAAATTAAAAATATATAAAAATAAAATAAATATAAACCCAAATAACATAAAATCCATTCTATACGATAACATCGATAAAATTCGAATTATAACAAACACATAATCTAAAGCCCGATCCGCATCAATCACCCAAAATAACCAAAATAAATATCACAAAAATTCCGAATTCATGCCATATCGATATAACGTATCCAAAACCCAAAAATCATAAAATTACAAAATAAAAAATATTGAAAAATACCGCTTCGAAATATATTTCCGACCTATAGATTATTACTTCCATATATATTCAATAAATCACCAATAATACAACATGTTATAAAATAAAAACAAAACTATATAATTAAAAATAACATACACGGAATATAAAATCTCACGACAATCTATTAATATTTATAAAATATACTAGTTCTAAAAAAAATAAAAGTACATAAATATATCGATACTATTTATTAGCACATTTATAAAATCATACAACTAAAATTTAACATCACTTTCTAACAATTATACAAACCCTACAACCTATTCTAGAAATATACACAAATATTTTCGATTCTATCTCAGACCCTTTCCAAATATCCCAAGGCGCCCTCTCCCAAGCCTACCAAACGAAGCCCCTCGCCATCTAAATCTACAAACTATTATTCACTAGAGCGAGTCGTCCAATACCAAACATTTTTTCATTGTAATACATACCCAAATTAAGTATATAATTTCCAAATGTTTTCTCCATCACGATATTACCCAATTGAATGTATCGCCGCATTAATATTCAATCGATTTAAAGAGTTACGCCTGACAGCCGGGCGCTGATCGCGAACAGGAATCCAGCCGTGCGAGCAGCAGCCACAACTTCAATGGCACAAGAATGAGCAGCAGCCACAACTTCAATGGCACAAGAATGTCCGTGGCTTCATCGCTACAACTGACAGGACCCGCTCACCTCTATGGATCTGGGCGCGGAAGCGTCGATGCATAATCTTCTCATGCGCCTGCTTGGCAAAGTACTGCGCCAACCCGGCATCAGGTACTATACACGCCGACTGCCATCCCCTGCAACCTTGCATCTGCACTTGCAGATACTATACATCATCTCTGCTAGCGATGCTTGGCGATTGCCGTGTGCCTGGCCGGGACCTCCATATCTCGAGCCTAAGTATGCCGTTGGCATAGGGTGTCTTTACCCGTTGGCCTTGCAGACCAACGTGCTTCAATGGAGAAAACGAAGCATTGACCACTTCCGCGATTCAAATGGTGAATCTGGCTAGGGCATCTTTATTCGCCTGGAGTTGTAGGGAGAGGTTGCGTTTGCACCACTCCCCAACGTAATCATTGTGGTGGAAAGCGTCTACTATGTAGCGCAATTGCGCTACTCTCCGTGCAATCATAGAATCCGCTTTCTGGGACTGCGCCATAAAATGCAAATAACACGCGTCATTATGCACGATGACGGATAGGTCTGCGAAGTGGGACAGCAGACTAGTCAGAAACAAATATATATCTCTAGCTACGGCTCTCAGCCCCGATCAATTCTTCCACGTCCACAACCAGGGCAATTTCCTAAAGTTTATCCACTCGCTACCCAATTCTACAGGTGATAAACATAATACGATTTCTTCCCCGCCCGAACCCTAGCTAAAGCCTCCTCTCCAAAGTGCCAGGCGCTAGGTTTCCACCAATTTCAAAAATCCACGGCTAGAAACTAGCTAGAAGCTCTACAAACGGCTGCAAGGCCTAGACACATTTAATAAACCAATATACGAAATAAAATCCAAATGGCTCAGCGTTCGATCCCATGCTGGTCTCCAATCTAGTCTTTCCATGACACGTTAAGCAAAAACAAGTGAATGTAAAATGACGAAGATGAAAAAGGACAATAATCAGTATAATGAAGAGGATAATAAAAAGCAAAGCCAGCATGACTAAGATCAATATACAGGCAAGCAAAAAGGTAGACAAGCCGAGAATCAAGAAGAAGAAACGCAGAAAGCTAAACAGGCAAGAAAAACGAAAAAGACAGTAGCGGAAAAGCGGAGAAGCGAAAAAAAGAGAAGCAGCCGAGCAAGGAAGCCAGAAAGGCAAACAAGAATAGAAGCCAAAATCGCAGAGAAAGCAGAAAAAATAGAAAGGCAAAACGCGCAAGCAAAATCAGAAAAGCAAAGAAGCAAAAAAAAAGCAGACGGGCACAGAAGCAAAGGAAGACAACAAGCACAGAAGTGGAGAACCAAACGAACGAAAGAAGAGAAAATAGAAATCAAAAAACAACTAAACCAGAGAAAATAGCGATGGAAGCGGCAACATTCCGGCAAATTCTACCTCACGCGCACGCTTCACGGCTAACGCCCGCTTGGGGGCAAACAGTGCGCGAACAGTGTATTCCTCATGCGGTGGCATTTTTGTCGTTGGACCGCATCCGCAACACCTCAACATGTTCCTGGAGCTCTTCCAGGCTGAGGGCGGCCAGCCCGGTGTGCGTGTGAGGGGCTGGAACCGGCTTGCCGCGTCTCTACAGCCAATTCGCGCTGGTGCAGCTGGGCCAACTGCCAGCCCAACAGACCCTGCGCGTCTGTCTGGCAACTTGCGTTGCCAGGTGGGAGGCCTTGTTCATGTTGGGGCTGTCCTTCAAGCACTTGCCGCAATTGGTCAATTTCCCGAATGATGGCGGCATAATCCTCATCTGGGAACGTCTTCACCGTAGGCAAGATGCAACAGCCCGGCGACTGAAAGCGGGGTAGCATCCTGCGGTCCTGATGCACCTGGCTTGGATGATTCAAGCCAAGGGTCTGGTTCTGGAGTGTGTTCCGAATGCTGGATTGTGCAGCTGTCAAAGATTGCCTGCGATACCACTTGCTACCGACAGCTAAGGTAGTTTTGCAGGATTTTACGTATTTAAATCCAACCGAACCAAGGTGACTTTCTAGTTTTCCAGTGGTGCCCTAGGTTTTTCGTCTCAAGAGTTGTTTTTAGAAAAATCCGATGGACCAACGTGCCCCAGAGGGTTGAGAACCAAGGAATAAAAGGACCGGATAACCCCACATGATAAGTTTTACAAATTTCAATTGTATATGAACATCACATGGGAGACGGAGTAGTGAGATGAAAAGTCAAGAACGAAGTGTGAGGAGAGAAGGTATATGAGGCGGTTGTGCTAAGACGTGTAGTATAAGTGATGATGTGATGGACGAGGATGAGAAGGAGGGGAGGGAGGAGGTGTGTATGAGTGAGTGAGTGAGTGAGTGAGTGAGTGGAGTGAGTGAGTGAGTGAGTGAGTGGAGTGAGTAAGTGGAGTGAGTGAGTGGATTGAGTGAGTGAGTGAGTGAGTGCGATTCGCAGCCTGTCACAACCATTGCTTTGCAAATCACAATGGCAGTAACGGACAGAACCGCAGGGGGCCCAGCGGCGACAACGCGCGCCGCAGCCCCTTCTGGAGGCTCTGGGTACTGCACCTGCCACTGCAGAGAGCGAGGGGGGCCCAGCGGCGACAACGCGCGCCGCAAACATCCTTCTCGCAGCATTTACAATGCGACTCCGAACCGGCAAGAACCAATACTATGGAAATCACAATGGCAGTCGTGCACAGACACAGTGTGCGCACATCCTGGCCGCAGCCATTACAATGCGATTCGCAGCCTGTCACAACCATTGCTTTGCAAATCACAATGGCAGTAACGCACAGAACCGCAGGGGGCCCAGCGGCGACAACGCGCGCCGCAGCCCCTTCTGGAGGCTCTGGGTACTGCGCCTGCCACTGCAGAGAGCGAGGGGGGCCCAGCGGCGACATCGTGCGCCGCAGCCCCTTCTGGAGGCTCTGGGTACTGCGCCTGCCACTGCAGAGAGCGAGGGGGGCCCAGCGGAGGCTCTGGGTACTGCGCCTGCCACTGCAGAGAGAGAGGGGGGCCCAGCGGCGACAACGCGCGCCGCAGCCCCTTCTGCAGTCACAGGCTCTGGGAGTGTGAGTGAGTGAGTGAGTGAGTGAGTGAGGGAGTGGAGTGAGTGAGTGGAGTGAGTGAGTGGAGTGAGTGAGTGGAGTGAGTGAGTGAGTGAGTGGAATGAGTGGAGTGAGTGGAGTGAGTGGAGTGAGTGGAGTGAGTGAGTGAGTGAGTGAGTGAGTGGAATGAGTGGAGTGAGTGAAGTGAGTGAGTGAGTGAGTGAGTGAGTGGACGGAGGAGGGGGCGAGGAGGACGGAAGGACCGGCGGATGCGGGCGGGATGCCAGCCAAAAAACTAGAACCCCACACAGAGATGTGGGGAAAAAACAAGGAGTCCGGGCTTATCAAACCCTTAATTAAATGCTGGGTATCTACCTTAGCTACGCCCTCAAGCAGCAACGTAACGAAGCACCTCACTCTTTATTTAATCGGAACTTTGTTCGAATCTTGTCAAATATATATATATATATAGAAACAGTGATATCATACCTGTTGAATAACGCCACAACCGTTGGACTCAGGACTTTAATTGAAAAACTGTATTTCCGAGCTGACGTAATTTCTTATTATCTTTTTGTTCCAGGGTCGACGCTCATTTTTTGACTGAGATTCCGTTGTGTTAAAATCCTCGGGCCGATGTTTCATTACAGTCCTTTCCCAACCCCATGTTCAGCGGCCACACACTGAGGTCGGACAATCGGACCGGGTCATCGGGCCCTCGGTCAGCACATCCGGTGTGTCCCGAAATCGGTGCTTTTGGTACCAAAAATTGAGCCCTATACAAGGCTCTCTTTTCACAAACAAATATGTACTTAATACTTGAGGAGACGGGGGTGGACGAAAGGTAGCATGTCTGCGGCTGCTGGTTGCTGTAGTAGCAGTAGTAGTAGTAGTAGTCCTGGTGGTGGTGGTGGTGGTGGTGGTGGTGGTAGTGGTGGTAGAGTTAGTCGTCTTTTGGATGGGAATTCAATGGAATTCGGCTTTGGGAGGGAATTCGTCTTCGCGGAATTTGTTGTGGGAATTCATCTTTGGAATTCGTCTTCGTCTGCGGGTGGAGGGTGGAAAGTCGATACCCGCACAGCGGGCCCAATGAATAAATACTATATAATATATATATGTTTGGTATTCACAATGCAAGCATTCATCAGGACTCAACATATTGCGGCAAGCTTGAACAAATTAAAAACCACCCAACACACACAAATCTGAACCTCCGAAACAATGCCCACAACACAGAAGGCTGGCAAAGCTGGCCTCCTGACAGTATGCCGAAAAGAGCTGCTTCGTCTGAGCATATACCTGGTCTTCAGTTGTTTGCACCTCGGCTACAGGTTCCGACAACTTCCGACTTGTCATCTGCACTGGCCTATCAGCATGAAGTCTACATGCTGCAGACTTGACTTCAGAAGGCTCTCCTCAGGGCTGGGCTGCAGCTGAATCCTGTGTCATCATAGCATCTTGAAAGGCCAAGACTGATGGCTGCAGCTCGTTAATGAGATGATCAAAATACACCTGTGTTGGCTGTACGGGTACGTGAGGACTTGGCGATCCCATCACCAAACGCTCCATGGACAGACCCACGTCGTCCACCACAGAGCCCAACTCGGCCATCGAAGCTCTCAGGTCGCCACTCGCCACAGTCCCGAAAGTCGATAGAGCCACTCGAGTGAATTTGCTGTATGCAATGGAGGCTTCGAACGTATGATGGGCCAATCGGACGAGTTCCAACAAGAGATCTTCCCACAAAGTGTGACTGGTAAAGGTGACATTTTCACAAATGCCACTTGGACCAGCTGCACCGCTCATCATCTCCATCTCCACCTGACCTGGTTCCACATAGTACTTCTGCAAGGCCTTCGCAGCTTCACTCATTGCTGCAATGCCTGCTCGGCTGATGTCATCAATGGTGCTAGCTGCTTCTGTATCACCACGGCATACTCGCAAAGATGCAACTTCCAGTTCATGATAGAACATCTTGACTTTGGCCATGTCGCCTAGCAAATCCGAGCTCAAACATGCTCAAGCGCGGATCTATAGAGATTTTCTTGTTACACAGGAAATGCCTTTCAATCTTCTCCAAGAACCCAAAGTCAAACCCAGAAAACTCAACATGTCCTGAGACGGTGACGGATGATGCAAAGATTTGTGACTTGCTTCAGGGCGATCTGATCCGTTGTATTTGGAGCGCCCATGAGCAGTTGCTTGTGAAGCACGCGGAACGCCCTGGCAGTGGCATTGAGCTCCTGGACATGCTCAACGAGAACACTAAAGCGAGTAGCAAAGGAAACAAAACAGAGTGTCATGTAACTAAAAAGGCAAGGGGCCATTAGGTTGGAAGCCATCGCAAGTAGGTTGGAGGCCGTCGCTCTTAGGTTGGAGGCCATTGCTAGTAGGTGGGGGGCCATTGCTACTAGGGTGGGGACCATTATCGGGGGGAGGCCTTGGCTATTATTGCTGTTGTTGCTCAAGGCCTCTGTAGTAGCAGTGAGGAACAGTAGTAGGGAGTAAACCATTCTAGCGGACTCCAGCGCTTTCAAGGCCTCTGTAGTAGCAGTGAGGAAACATTAGTAGGGAGTAAATCATTCTAGCGGACTCCAGCACTTTCGAAAATGGCTCTGCAAGTCGCAACAAGGGGAGAGTAATTTTTTCCAGCGTACTACAACCCACACGCTTGAGGCCAAGGGTTGGTGACGAAAGCTAGCAGGGCAGGGGTGAAGCGGCGCATATCTGACCGAGAAAGGAGGTGCCACAGGAACAGGCAGCCCCCTGCCAGCGGAAATACACACGTCCCGGAGACGTCCCAGGGAGGAGTTGAGCCGCGAAAAGGGGTGCCCTGTGTGCTTCCTTTTTCTGAAGACTAACCTCTGTCTGCTCTCACCTCTTATGTATGTACATGACTGACACATTTGGCTCAAGACTGGAAAAGCCGCTTGCTTTCACGTGCAACGCTGCACTTGACTCGTTGTCCGTGCAAAAGTCCTGACGTGTCAAAGCCCACAAGCCATGCGCACCGCACACTTTTCTAAACACCTTATGGACCCTTGTGCCTTCACGGCGTTCGATAAATCGCACAACCAAATGCGTGGGGCATCAACGAGCGAGGAATGGAGTTCAGTCACGCTCCTCAAAAACTCTCTTCCCAGCCTGCTAAGTCGATCGCTAGCCTCTTCTCACTTGGCGCCCTTGGAACACCTTCTCGGTGGATGTGGTCGTAGAGGCTTCGGCAATCGATCAGGAGGTGCAAGTCTAGACCCTCGCCGGCTGAGACCTCGCTGATCCTCTTTCCGGTGGCCATTGACAAAAACAGGCTGCGGAGGTAAACAGCACTTTCAAAAGCTTCACATCCGGCCATGGTCTCTCACGCGATGAGATGCTTTGCTTCGCCAGTCAACGACACTGAATTTATTCCCGCCTGCGCTGGTCAGGCAGGACTTGCTGGCAAAGAGGATGAGGTGAGCCAGCTGAGATGCCGTGGTGTGTTCTCCAAGCCAGGAGGCATCATGATCCTCCTGGTCATCTGGCAGCACATTTCCCCAGGCGGCGTCGTGATAGGCCAAGATGCATAGGTCATCTTCAGGCACTTTCCTCAAGACCACACCTTGTCCTTGGTGCTTGCCACACATGGTGATCACTTTGTTGGTGTTCTTCAAGTCCGCCGCTGTGGGGCGCTGTTGCCGTCGCTGACATTGACACACAGCAAATTGCAAGTCTGGCCTGGTCTGCATGACACACAGCCGATTGCTGTTCGGTTTTCCTCTTCCTGCTCAGGGGTGGCCATGTCCTCGTCCTTCTGGTCTTCCATGATTGTCACCTTTTCCACTCGGCTAGTGGCATAGTTCTTCTGCTTGATCTGAATTTCGCCTTCAGCACATTCATACTCACACCCCGCATGCTCAAAGTTCTGGTCCTCCCACTCATCGATGGGGAAGTGGCTCTTTATCGCCTCTTGGAGCTTTGGGAGGAGGTCCTGGTCGGCCATCAGCATGATGTCATCGACGTGGGTGAGGCGAAGTGCCATCGTTTTGCCTTCATTGATGACGGCGAAGATGCACGGGTCGATCTCATTCTGCGTGAAGTGCAGTGTCGATCTCATTCTGGCGCTGAACATTGAGCTCTAGCAAATCACTGGAGAGCTTCATCCACCAGAGCTTCGGGCTTGTTGACAAACCAAAGACGCCCCTCAGAACCTTGATGATCTGTCCTGGTTTCAAAGAAGGTATCCCACGACGAGGTTGTCTGAAGTATAGGTTTCGTGGTGCAGGCAGACCATTATTCAGGAAGGCAGCCCTGATGTCTCCAACGCTCACTTGCCAGTTTCGGGCCAAGGCCAACTGCAGTGCTAAGATGATGCCTGGAGACCGTTGGGGCATCCGTCACGACCATGCCTAACCTTTACTCCAACCAGGTTTTTTAACCTCAAACGTCCTTTGTCTTGACCCTTACCAATCCAAATCACTTAACCTGCGCATGCCTTAACCCTTTCCAGACCCCCTGCAGAGCAGGGGGAAAGGGATGTGGAGATGTTGGGCACGGGGACGGGAGAGGGTGTAGAGGCCAGTGGCGGGGGAACGGTTTCAACACTTCGACCACTCAGGGCCGTTAACACCCCGCCGCGGGATCCCAAAAACGGGTCGCCTCGTTTTCTTTATGATCCTCTGAGATTCTGAAGGGTTCCTCGTGTGTGCAATTCAACAATACACAATTGTATCGTACATACCTCTGCTGAAAATACATAATACATATCAGGTCCAGGTACACAAGGTCCAAGGGTTTCGTTCGAGCTGAGATCACGGACCACATCCATTGCGGCCTGTAAAAACAAAACGAGTCCAGAAGTTAGTTTTCACGAGTTTTACCATTCTCCAACCTATCCACTTCTCAGCCAACCTCTGGCCACACCGCCTGGAGCTGCTCGAGCTGCTCAGGCTCCCACGGCTTTTAACCTTTTTGGGCCTTCGCCAGAACAGCCGTCCCGAGCCAGCGCCCGCCATCTGTCAAATCTGTAGGCCTGTCCCTCGGAAATGAGCCATTACTGTGTTTGTCGGTTCAGGCATCCTGGTGCTCATGATTCGGCATGTCACGGTACAGCTCCTGCTGCTTGTCAAAACGTTGACTCCCCGAGTCCCTGGGGCTCTCTGGCATCCTTCGCGGCTCCAAAGCGAGGTTGTTGAGCACAAAATTCTCATCCGATTTTTGTTGCGCGACTGAAAGGCTCAATACAAAAGCCTCTACAGAAATGCACAAGTTATCTCGGCTATTGACCATGCTGCCTCAGCCGTATGTTGTTCCTTCATAACTCACCGAAGCGCCAAACCACCATGAAAAAATGCAACTGCTAGCTTCGAAATTACCGCGCCACAGCGCCCAAAAATTCACAGCAGGGAGAGAGAAGCGTATGCATATATCGACCACTATATATTATATCTATATATTTATACATCAGAACTCTATATTCATATACCGTATTTACAGATATATTATACATAAGAGGAGAGGAGAGTTGAAAAAATTGCAGTTCCTTCTGAAATCGACTGAAGTTCGAACCCGACTGACGCTTGAAACAGCATTGCGCTAATCCCAGCGCCTTGTTTCTTTTTGACTGACGGCGATGCAAGAGCAGTCGCTCGCATTTCACAAGTCAAATCTGAGAGCTGTTTGCTTCAGAGGCCTGGACTTAAATTTCTCAGGATTCAAATAACGTCCTGGCGGACTTCCCCATGCTCCTCTACGCTCCACAGCGACTGTCCCATCTAAAGTCATTTGCTTCTTCTTGGGAGGAGCAGTTTGGTAAAAATGACGCCTTCGGCCATCATTCCCTGAAGCACTTGACGAAGGTGCATTCGTTTGCTCCCAACTGAAAAGGTGAGGCTTCGAGGATCCAGGAGCAATTGAGGTGCTCTGAACTGATTCCTCAATGGGATCGTCTTCATCTAAAGGCACTTGTCTCTTTCGGGGAGAGACTTTTGGAGATGGTGTATCGACCACATGAACTAAGTCCCGATCATATGCTCGTAGACACGCTTCTGACGCTCAGCCCAACCTGTGCAAGTGGCCATAATGCTTCCCATTCTCTCAAAAAATATCATGTCTATACCCAAACTTTTAAAAACGTACAAAGCATGCTGCAGATATCAATTTAGCCTTTGAAGGCTTTGGTCTCTGGTGTCTCATCACCACACATAGGCGAAGGAGGTCCTCTTTGCGCCCATCGAACAGCGTGTCATCAGTGGTGGCACGGGTGCTTCGAGGAGGAGTCTGTGGACCCTGTATATCTGTGTCGAACTCCAGGGTCGGATTCTCCCGTGTGCCCACCATCGCGGATCACGGACTTGGGGACGATCAAGCTGGTCAAGGGCAAGCTCTTGCAATTATAAAAAGCATCTTTTGCCATACCGATGACAACGTTGTGACAACGTCATATGGGACTTCACAAACTGCCAAGCATGAGAAGCTTTACAGACTGTTCATTACATATCTTTGGCGCTATAGTGGAAAGTGGTTATGTTCGAACAACTTCAACCTTCCTTTACAATCCTCTGTCAACTCTCATAAAACGGCTGCGACTCTCAAACCCGAATCCGTCTCGAACCCGAATCGAATGGTTGGGTTTCAATCTCGAGGCACGGGAGTGGTGCCACTGTTTTGGTCACCGGGGTCCAAAAACCAGAAGGGGTTCCAGGGGGTGCCGTCTGAAACCTTGGGCGCTGTCTGCTGTTGGGTGGCAAAGCTGATTATGGATAGGCTCTGGACATATATATATATATGTATATATATATATTCTTACCTGGCAACCTTGTACCAGTAAGCCAAAGATGTGGTTGATGACAATGTTGTGATCGATGACAATGTTGTGATCGATGACAATGTTGTGACACACCGACGCCCCCCAACCCCTCCAACCACCCATTTTAATCACACGACTCATCGATGACAATGTTGTGGTCGATGACAATGTTGTGATCGATGAGAAGCTCTGATGCTGAAGTGGGCAATGATGCTGAAGCCCCCGGAGAACCCCCCGTCCAGAGCCTAGTTCGATCCAGTTCTCCCGGATGATTCGAATGTTTCAACATGATTCCATCATAATTACTCCATCCTATTTTGCTATGTGATTATGTGATCTGACTTGCCAGTGCTCTCCGATGTCTAAGTTGTGAACCGTCTCACTTCAGGCAACTGGGCTGAGTAGTCCAGCATGAAAAAGTCCAACGATTCCTGGCGCTGTATAGCCGCGTCAAGCGAC